TCTGTCTGTCTGTCTGTCTGTCTGTCTATCTATCTATCTATTATCTATCTATCTATCTATCATCTACTATCTATCTATCTATCATCTATCTATCTATCTATCTATCTATCATCTATCTATCTATCTGTCTATCTGTCTGGTGATTTTGAGAGAGGGTCTTACTGTGTGTTCCAGCTGTCCTGGAACACACTCTGTAGACCAGGCTAGCCTCTAACTCACAGATACCTGCTGGCTCTGCCTGCCTCCTGAATGCCGGCATTAAAGGCGTTTACTCCCACACCAGTCAAGCAGGCGTCCTTATCTGTGTAGAGAGTTTGAGACCTGCTTGGGATACATGAGGCCTGTCTCAAAAAGGAAAGTATAGGGACCCCCCACTTGCTGCTGATGTCAGGACTCTCGGTCCTGGGGTGCTCTGGGAGCCAGTGGGAGGCCCCTGCCTCAGCCTTAATGGAGCAAAAGAGGAAAGAGTGGCCAACATTGCTACATGGCAGTTCCGTCGTTCTTGGCCGAGAACTGCCTGTGAGTGACATTAATCCCCTGACTCATTCCCTGTCTGGTCAGAGTGGGCTTTGCTTAAGCAAGGTCTCCAGAGGAGAGCTGGTGCCTGCAGCTGGAAGTGGCCACCAGCCAGCACCAAAGCCAACTTCTCAGCCCCTCTTCAGACCCCCCTCTCCTTGTCAGCTGGGCTCTGATAACCTCCTGGTCTCTTGTATACAGAGGTGACACCTCTCCCTGGGGCGCTCTCCCCTTCCCTGGCTGAGGTCCCTGCTGGCTGACCGGAGCATCCTCACAGCCAGCCCCACAGCTATGCTCCTGCTCCATGAAGAGTGAAAGGTGCTGAGTCCCCGACCCCCACCCCAGCCGGGTACCCAAACTGCCATCCCTCCTCTCGGAGAAGTGTCTAGCTGCGGCTTGGCTCCCCAGAACCCTACGCAAGCGACCTGGCTTCTTGTTTCTTAAGGACTCTTCTGTTTCATGACGTTTAGATCCGGTGGGGACCAGACGAGTTTCCCGGGGTTGCCACGGCCAACCACCACAGCCCAGGTGGCTGTAACAAGAGGCGTTCCTTTCTCCACAGTGCGAGGCTGGAAGTCTGAGCTCAAGGTGTCTGCAATGGCTCCTCCTGAGGCCTCTCCCCGTGTTCTCCTGTGGTCAGCTCTCTGTGTCTGTTCTCACGGCCCCATTATCTTATAAACACACAGGGCATAATGGGCCAGGGCCCTACGACCTCTGCCACCACGCTTACCTCTATAAACAGTCTGCCCTGTGGGGCCAGGGGTGAGAGTTTCAGTTTAGAGTTTGGGTGACACAATTCAGCCTGTAGCAGGGACATTCTCTGACACCTCTGTGATGCGGGCCCTTTTTGGTAACTTGGTAGGAAAGCCCCGTTTTATAAGGAGGTCACCTCCCATGGTGTCATGGAGATGGAGAAAGTCGATGAGGCAATCCAAGCACCATAAAGGCAGCTACTCTACTGCCTTGTCCATGCTCAGCAACGTGGACCCATCCTGACCATGCAAGTCTGCTGAGGAGCCATGATTAAGAGTGGACAGAAAAGAGCAGGTGAAAGCCGGCATGCAGCAGGGCTGGTTGAGAGGGGAGGACACAGCAGGACAGAGGGACGGTGGTTGTCACATGGCAGGACAGAGGGACGGTGGTTGTCACACAGCAGGACAGAGGGACGGTGGTTGTTACACAGGACAGAGGGACGGTGATTGTCACACAGGACAGAGGGACGGTGGTTGTCACATGGCAGGACAGAGGGACGGTGGTTGTCACACAGGACAGAGGGACGGTGGTTGTCACACAGGACAGAGGGACGGTGGTTGTCACACAG